TCTAAACCAAACCACAGACAAACAAAAGCCTCCAACCTCCCAACGTCACCAAAACAAAAAAAAGACAACCATAGGCAAGAGCAAACTCAGACCGGCCTCCAAAAAAGATATCCCCCAATGTTCACTGACTTCTTAACACAGAAACAATCAAAACAACCAATATAACCAAAAAACTAATAAAAACAACACCACAAATACAAACAAAACCCAAACCAAACAAACCAACAAACAACAAAAAAACAAAAACCCCCTCCCCCTCTCTCTATTTATTTATTCCTTCTAACCAAAAAAAACTCTCAGTGGACACGTCTCACGCTAATACGTATTCCAATGTTATCGTAGTTAAACCGGTTATATCATATAAGTCTCTAATCCATTCGGATTTTTATCCCTCCCCGGCGATCTGAGACATTTGATAGTTGTGAACAAAACATTGTGGTGTGTGTTATGAAAGTTTCATCGCTAGTCTTGTAACATTTGGGGACTCGATTAAGCGTGAGGCGCACCACAGCCGCGCGATGCGATCCAGAAAGAAAACATCTTATTCCGTCATTATACGTCAGGCACTCGCTTGCCCCCTCGCTCGGGGGATCGACTCTCCTAGCCAGGTCTCTGCCCAACAGTTCATCCCGTCTCTTTCGGCAGCTTTGCAGATTATTTCAGCCTCCCCTTTGGGGGTAGGCCGGCCCCTGATAAGGTCAACGTAACTCCTTATTCGCTACCATCAATACGACAAATATCCGGTTTTTTTTTGGAGGTCCCGGAAACTGTTTAGGCCCCCTTTACAACACTTCCCGTCTCTCAGCCTCTTTTGAGAAGCTCGAACCTAGCAGGGGGGTATGTTTACCCTCCGTCATTGTCTAAGTCTTATCTGCAGGGAACTTACCGGTCATAAATAGAGCATCCCAGACACATGTAACGTGTGGAAACACATAAAATTATGCACTTAATCAACAACTGGAGCAGGGAAAGTCGACCCAATCGTTGTCAAGCAGGCAAGGCGGGTACGGTATTTTACATGAAAAACAAAATGTTCTTACACCCTCAGCCTCCATCATTCATCCAGTTTAAATCAACACTCAGGTCAAATCACATCTATGCGAGTCCCCAGCCAATTCTCGGGCATTAACACGTAGTCAAGCGACTTTACAACCTATTGTCCAGACTTGCAAGGGCAAACCCGGAAAAGCGGGGAAAACACTCCGCCACTTCACTTTAATAAACAGGCGGGAATCCATTTCGAAATTCACGTACGGGGCTGGTTACTCTCCCGTCTCCATCGAGCCTCTCCATAGTAAAGATCTTTTCTTCCACTCCAGGAGGTTCATAATCGTTTGGAGGTAAGTAGCTGTACATTTCTACTCAATGTTTGCCGGTTCACGGAACACCCGGAGCCATGTGGGACTCCACCGGTCCTGTAGTGTTGTCCACGTACCGTCTATATTGTTCGTGAGGGCCTTCTTGTTCTTGCCGAACCCGCTTTCATCAGTTATTAGGTACTCTTTATTACGATAAGCTCTTTACAGTACTACTTCGTCCCTCTTTTTTTCTTATGACAAAGTAGAAACCCGCACCTCCTTGGAGTAATGTGCGACTTCTATGGTGTGGACTCTCTTTCCTAACTTAACATCACGACTAGAATGGAGTGACGTGGACCGAACCCCTCCTCGCTAGGGGTGTGCGGGACCAGGTCCTGGGTCGTCAAGTTCAGGGTGGGGAGTTTTCATAGTTTCATTACGACCTGGGTCCGCCTTCCTAATTCTTTTTCCGGACGTTGTCTTCCGGGTCCGCAAGTAGATATACCCCGTTATGGCAATCCGCGTCCTGTTGGAAGTACAATTTTATTAAGGGTTCACTCAGCTAATGTTTTAGTGTCAAGAACAGTCGGCATTATTACGCCACCAACGTTTCTGGGTGCGGGGAACGGTGGTTCCTATCTTTGGGGACGACGAAAAAACGGAACCTTCCATCTTACTTCACGACGGCGGGCGGCGGGTTCTACGGTCTTTACGCCAGTAACAAGACGTCTTGCGTTTACACAAAGAACTTCCTTCTATTACAGGTCGCCACTTGACGAAGTCTACAATACTCATGAAAGGCAGAACAATAAACCCCACCACAGTCCTGGGAACTGTAGGTTGAGCTGTCACAATATCTCTCGCTGAGGTATTATACGTCCTCTCTTTTCATGCAACCTCATTCCCACCAAACCACACCTGGTAAACAAATAGATAGGTTGGTCTGGTAACTTTCCTCTTTTTTTTGTTACAGTTGTATATTCGACGTATGGCGGTGGGCAGAAGGTTTTGGGTTTCTTCGAAGGTTTCTTGAGTCATACTCATGTTTTATTTTTAATTGGTATCGGACTTCAACAAAAGGTCTTTCGTTGCACAATTAGGTCAATCGATTCGAGGGGTTGTGCTGTCTTTGATAGTCGTAGATAAAGCGACGTTTAGGTGTGTAAGGACGCGTGGTACCGATAGCGAGATAGTAGAGTCGGGTCCTCAGTCTTCGCATGTCGCTAGACATGAAGTTCTTTAGTTTCGCAAAAAGTTGAAAATTTACATAAATTGTTGATCATGTGTACTTGCTTCCATGTATTTTTCTCCTGAATCGACGGTACCTCGCATTCAAGAGTACCTCTTCTTTTCTATTTTTTTTTTTTTCGTCGTCGTACTATCTACGCAGGATAGTGTGTCAGTCTGTACTGTACGAACATGTGTGTGTGTCCTGTTAGTACTGTGTGTGTGATGTCGCTGTCGTGTGTGTCGGCAGTCCCTGTGGTCAAGCTGGCAGCTGTCGAGCTCAGAAATCGTCCTGTCGAACTTGCGTGCATAAATTATGATCGTCCTCCTCTACATTATTTCGGTGGCGTGCAGTGTCCGCGGCCTGGTGTTGTGTTTTGTTTTTTGTTATGTATTTGTTTCTATCCCTCCATTGATCTATTATTTGCTATTGCTTTATTCACTAAGTTTATTTGTTGCATTTGTCGCGTTTATATTAATATTCACTGCTTTAATCATTATTGCTGTCTTGATCGTAAACTCCTAGTTTTCCTGCAAGAAGTCCTGTGTGTGCGTGTCGGCTCCCTAAGCGCTGGTGCTGCCTCGTATCCACCGTATGTGAGCGCTTTCGTTGTAGTCGGAGGCGGTTGAGTGCTCATTGTCACTGACCCCCAAATAAGTGTTGTCTTTACTTATTTTTTATCAGTGTCATCCACTACTCCTTTCGTATTCTGACATGGATGCTTAGCTGTAATATCATCTTTGTTTTGTTGTTTTGTTTGGTTCTCACTGTTTTTCAGGAAGGAGGTGTTGTCGAAATTTCTGAATAGATCGAACAATACCTCACATCTTCGCGTTGCCGCGATGTATTTTGTTCTGTTTGGACCGTAATTTCCACCGGTATGTGACGTCATGGAGAGATCAGCTTTTTCTGGGCTGTTAACAACGCAAATGAGACTGCCAGTGGTCTGCTTTCCCTACTCGCGTCACATAGTCTTCTAAATCTGGTGGCTACGCTTTAGCGAAAAAGGGGGCAGGAACCAACACTGGCATACGTTATGCGACGCATGTCCTCACCTACACGAGTTCGGCGCAACTATTTCACGGCTGTAGTGGTAGTGGCCTTGCGGCGCGCAACGAAGGTGCTGAGACCCGTCATCATAGTTTCTCCGGTGCCCGACGGGGACCTTTTTGTCGAAAGGGGCGGCGAAGCCCGGCACGGGACTTGCTAGTCTGTAGAAGCAGGACTTTACCTACCTACCGGCCCGATCAATGGCGAGACTGAACTGGGCCCTGGTGACGAACCGGCAGTCCCGGACGACACGAGCCAGGTGGGCCTCGACATCACTCCCTGACCAGTGGGTCTTCGAGGTGGTCGTCAGAGCTTTTTTTCAGGACACCTGCACGTTGGGAGCTAGCTGAGCCATTTGGTCAATAGGGAATACACATCACGCCGCTGCCGCGCCTGAGGTTCCAGAGATCGGAAATCGGGAAATCGAACAACATCGAGGAAGGTAACGACGTGTGGATCGGAGGTTGGAATGGTAAACAGCCGACTCGACTAAGCGCGCAATCGAGGCTCTCCACTCCCAGTCCGCCAATGGCACCAGACAACTTGACAGGGCGACCTGTTTCAGATTTAGCGAAGGGTCTCTTCAGT